TTAGTTATGATTAATATATTAGGTTAAGATTTAACTGAATATTTGTTCTTATTGATTATGAAATCTATCTCAATAATCACTTACCTAATTAGTTCATATTATTGTTTCAGAAATCTTTTTCAATAATCACTTACCTAATTAGTTTATATTATTGTTTAGGTAATATTTGAAAACCCGTTTAAATGACTCATTGACCCGCGAGATTAAGAAGTGGCTCATAACTTTAATGACGTGGATTAATTATGTTTATGATTAGAGATTTGAAATGGCATATAATGTAATTTCTTACACTTCTCAATGTTACAACTTATTGATGTACTTCCCAATCTAAAACCACATAAATTCAATTATTTTTATAATATTTAATTATATTTTTATTTAATATTAACTTTTATTCAAGGGTTTATTTTATTAATTTAAGATGCAAATCTTGACGAAATCTTAAAAATAAAAGATAATTAAATTAAAATGATGATTTGTTATTATTTGAATTTTTGAAATTTAAAAATAAATGATGATTCTTTATTATTAAATTACATTAAATTGGATTGTCATTTCTGGAAATTTCTATTAATATATTATCAAATTTAATTAGTTTACATATATACAATTTCGTTTTTTCTTCTATATATACTAATCATAATTAATTAGTATAGTTTTGTTAATGAAATATTTTAAAATCTAAACTAAATTTCGTTGTATGATTAAAAATTATTTGTATCTAAATAAAATCCATGTTTGTTAGATTCGTGATTGAGCTCCTAAAGATTAGGTAATCTTTTTAATATCTTTAAACCTATTTGACCCATTGACCCATTTTTTAATAAATTGGTTAATATTAGTGACATGAAATTAAAATAATTATGATTAGAGACCTCTAATGGCATATATTGTAATTTTTTTATCAATCCTTATCCTTTTATAAATTGGATTGATATAAAATGTTTTCAATGATATATCATTTTCATTAACATTTTCAATGACATTTTTTATAAGATGTTCGAATAATGGATTACTATATAACATTTTGAATAACATTTTCAATAACATTTTCGAATAATATATTAGTATATTAGTATATAACATTTTTATGTATGATATAAACAAAATCTTTTATGTATTATATAACATTTTTATGTATTATATAATCTCGAATATTGATTAGTATATACCATTTTCGAATTATATTAATTATGTATTATATAAACAAAATCTTTTAATATCTTTAAACCCGTTGCCCCGTTTATATATATATTATTAGTGACATGGAATAAATTTTATGATTAGAATTATATAATGGCATTTATTGTAATTTCTTACAAAATCTAAGTTATGATCCTTAGGATGTACTTCCCAAATATTAGTATAGGATGTTAGAGGGGCTACATGCCCAAGACATGTTTGGATGATGTTTGAATGTAATTTCTTTTAATTTCTTATGATAATACGTCTCCCTCACTTCCCAAAAAAAGAAAAAAAAAAAGATTTTTAAAAAGACAAACAAAAGACGCAAATAGTTTATTTGGGTAGCCTTTCACTCTAACATATACTTACTCAGTTTCTTTTTATAAGATATTTTGGCTAAAAGCGAGTATCTTAAGAATTTTTTATATATTAACAATATTATTTAATATATATATTTATATACAAATAAAATTGTATTTACTTCATTCATAAATTTAGACTTATAAATTTACGGTTTTAATTTAAAATTTTATAATATATGATAGAATATGCTAGTGTTAAAATTATGTTCAAATTATTTATTTTTCAATTAAAAAATATAATCATTTAATATATAAATTTTTTATATAGAAGCTTTCTTATTTAAAGAGATATTTAATTTTAGTAAGTATAGTTAATAAGAATAAGTAGTACGGTAAATCAGGTAAACTTATACGCAAGAATCAACGCCTAGGATTCGATAAACTTAGATTCCTAATCTACTAAAACAATAGAGTAGGGTTTATGTTTCTTCTACAATAGAAATTAGGGTTTATCTCTTAATACTAAAACCAATAAAAGAAAGAAATTAGGGTTTTCAATCTCTTTACGATCCGAGGACGAATTAATTGGAGACGGAGATGATGCCTCTATTTATAGTGGTTTAAGATGTAAATTTCGATACGCGTTAGTTAGTGATGAAAATCTTGCTAAAGAAGTATAATATCTCTGTAACAATAACATATATGGAACAAAATCTCGGATTTATTATAAATGCAAGGAATATGCCATATATTAAGAGATTGATAGTACTAATTAGTTGAGACATAAGATATTAGTTGGGATCGAAGATATATTTGATCGATTATATGAATTATAGATAAGGAAATACCAAGAATCTTGGATATATGTAGAGTAAGTAGTTTATAGTTTCTTAAATATTCTTACTTTTATGTAGCTAAACAATGAATACTGATGAGATATATGTGGAGTAATTAGTTTCTATTTTCTTAAATATCAGCTAAATAATGAATATTGTTAGCTTTAAACGATTATTGTTAGAATTAATTATTATTTTTTAAATGGTAGTTAGCAAATGAGCGAATGTAGGTATGGAAAAGTAAGTTTTAAGAGACAATTTAGGATTCAAATTGTTTTGTTAATACTGTATCTTTTATTTAATTTTGCAAATCTTAAGAATTAAATCTAATGATATTTTATTGTAAATACTTGCGTTTAAGAAATAATAATACTGGCAACCATTTTTTTTTTCGAAACGCAATTGGAATTGGAGCTGCTTCGAGTACTGGTATAAATACTAAATGAGGGTTTTGAGTCAAAATGATCGATACCAGCCTTTATCACTTAGCCTCTGAAGAGAGAACTCCGGTCGATAATCCACCGGAGCAACCAAAATCCACGGTGAGTCTTTTCGTATACTTTACCTGATTTTAATCGATTTATAACTCAACGCCTAGGATTCAATCAAGTTACATTGTTGTTGTATGTTCAATTGTTCATGCTCTTAGGGTTTTGTGTCTCGTGATGCCTGGGTTTGATAGACTCAGCGAATTACCGGAATCTTTGATTACTCAAATACTCTTATGTCTTCCGACTAAAGATTCGGTGAAGACGAGTGTTTTATCGACTAGATGGAAGAATCTGTGGCTAAATGTTCCTGGACTTGACTTGAATTGCCGTGATTTACCTGATGAAGATGGAAAATATGAAGAAGTGTTCATTAACTTCATCGACAGATTTCTAAATTTTAAACCTGAGTTACGCCTGCAAAAATTCCAGGCAAATTACAGTGAGCGTGAGATACTCGGGTTCAAGGATCGGATCGGTACAGCGATTAACCGCGGAATTCAACTTCTTGATGCTGTGAGTAGTACCGAATATCGAGAGGATGACGGCATTATGTATCCTTATTTCGAGTTCATGCCTCTGGATTTGTTTACAAGCAAGACATTGGTTTCTTTAAAGCTCACGTTTTGGGGTCTTAATGATCCGGGTTTTGTTTCTATGCCTTGTCTTAAAGCCATGTTTCTTCAGGAAATTCGATGGTCTGGTACTATGAATCTTGAGAAGCTTGTCTCTGGATGTCCCATTCTTGAAGAACTGACCTTAGTAAGGTATCTTGATGAGGATAAATTGGTGGTTACGCGTGTGAGGTCTGCGAGCCTGAAGACTTTTTATGTTCCGTTCGTGTATGGAAGTTATTGTAGATCAAGAGTCCCACACACAGTACTTGAGATTGATGCTCCAGCACTAGAGTCTATGACTATCAAAGAAGACCATTTCGAGAAAATCATAGTAAAGAACCTGACTTCTTTGTTCATGATTGACCTTGATATCAAGTTTGTTGTCAAGTATGACAGTAGTTTTGATCCAGAGGACTTATCGAAGAAAAATGAAATCCTTGATTTTCTCACTGGGATATCTCGTGCAAGACATATGATCATCTCTCACAAAACAGTGAAGGTATATCTTTCAGTGTTCTAAAATACGTTAGGCGGTAAGATGTTATATTTATACAACTATTCCTGATGTTTGTCTAAATTCTTACTTGTATCTTTTTTCCTCTCTTCTTGTTGCAGGCCCTTGATCGTTTCTCAAAAGTAGGATCTATTCCCAAATTCAATAACTTATCTCGTTTACAGGCTGAATTCCCGAGCCCCTTGTTACCGATTTTGCCAGCCTTTCTTGAGAGTTTCCCGAATCTGAAAATCCTAATCCTGGTAAAACCTTTTGCGATTTTGGCGTAACAACATGCATTTTGGTATAGTTGATGTGTGTAATTGTAAATCCGGCCTTTGTTTTTTTGGTGTTGCAGAAGATTAAATTTGCAAAAGATGATGAGACGGAGGAGCTGAATCTCGTAAATGTGCCTCGATGTTTCATATCGACTCTCGAATGCGTTGAGATAAAAGGTTTGTTTGAATGGGAGGAAGAGGAAATGAAACTAGCGAGGTACTTTCTTGAAAACTCAGCAGTCCTCAAGAAACTCACTCTGAGTTTCATAGACTACCCTCGATATGCATCAAATTCAGATGTCTACGAGGATCTTAATAAACTCACAAAACGTTCTCGAAGATGTCAAATTATCGTCGATGATGACTGATGAATATTGATGCGCAACCATGAATAAGCCCATGAGCATTATCAGTGTAAGAGTGAGTCTGTTTTGGCATGAAAATTGCTGTTAAGCTTTAGCATTTTTTTTAATCATTTTGTTGTTCTAGTTGGATTTCTTTAGCCATAGATGTTTCAAGTTCTTTAAATTCGGTGTGGTTTTGCTTACTCTTTGGAAATTTAACCAAACAAAAATAATTTTTTTATGTTGGATGGAGAAACAAAATTAAAATTTTTGATGGCTTTTTAATCAAATAGCGTTGAAATATAAACAAAAGTCAATTAAGGAATGTTGGAGAAAAAAACAAATACACTTAATAAAAAAAAAAACACGAATCAGCGAAATGATGCGCAAGTTAGCAAATTGGCTTTCTCTTCTTCTTCGTCCTCAGAATTTACCGCTTTAAAACCAACGCCCGACGCTCTTTTTTCTCTCCCAATTCTTAATTTTTTTCTCATCTTCTTTCTTCAACAATGGCAGAATCAAAGACAAAATTTGCAGAAGTCAGGGAATGGATCGTCGAACACAAGCTTCGTACCGTTGGTAATCTCACTCTTCCTCCTCTTCTTCCTTCTGTGTTCATCCTCGAACAAATTTTCTCGTAGCTTGTTTTGGCGCACACGAATCAAGTTTCGAGAGAATGTTCGTGTTGGTTCATCGTTATTATAGATCTGAATAATTCCTCAGATCCGAAGTTTTGGATCTAAGTTATCTCAATTTTGATAACTTTTAGGGTATTTTCTCCTTTCCAAAATCGAATTTCTTCTTTGCTTCACCATTTTTTTGTGGATTTGGTTTAGTAATATTGGAGATGAGGATGCATGTATGATTTTTGTGTTTTGTTCTGATAAAATTTGTTGTTTCTGAATTGGATTTTTGATAGGTTGCTTATGGCTTAGTGGTATCTCTGGTTCAATCGCCTATAACTGGTCAAAACCTGCCATGAAAACCAGTGTCAGAATCATCCACGCTAGGTAAAATTTTCTTATCTTAATGCTCACAAATGTTTCTTTTGATTTTCGGATTTAGACGTTCTTTGATTGTAGAAGTTATCAATGGCTCTAGCACTTAGTTATGTGTCCGCATATAACATCATTTTGCTTAACCACAAACAATTACGTTTAAGAACACTAATGCTAGAGAAAGCATGAGCATTCAATTAGGGGGTACTCTAATTCTTTTTCTTAGATTCTTTAAGTGAACTAAAATCGCTTGTTCGTGTTGTTCTTCATTTCCTCACTGTGTTGTATGTTGAATCCTCATTTTAGAATTCTTATCTTTCAATCTTTACTATGAGTTGTGCCATATTGCTAGACAAATCAATTGGTAACAACATCTAATCGTCTCCAATATTCGATCATATACATTTCTCGCTCGTATGCGTGTTTTGTGCTTAAATACATGTACTTGGGGTGTTGGGTATACAACACAAATGTGACCATTACTGTTCTAAAATTATCATAGATTGGTTCTTTACCATGCATGATGATGATGATGATGATCTTTCAATTCTTATTTGCCATTTGATATCTCACAGATTTTTATCATATTGTCAGGTTGCATGCTCAGGCGCTGACATTAGCCGCTCTGGCTGGAGCAGCCGCAGTGGAGTACTATGATCACAAATCTGGAGCCACTGATCGAATCCCAAAATTTCTGAAGCCTGATAACTTAAATAAGGACTAGAAACCCTTACCATGGCTCATGCCTATTCTGTTATTGTAGGCATATTTTAGCTAATGAAAACATCATGTTTTGTAAGTTCTTTTGGTATTTTAAAATGGCTGATACCTATTCTGTTATGTTAGGCATACTATAGCCTCGCAGATTGACTGCAACATTCGGGATGCGAAAATGTAAGAGTTTCATACAGACACTAAATGAATAAATATATATTTTATTAAGCATGGTCATTTCATTCTGATATTAGCCTAAATCGTGATAATATCTATCTTCTATCCCAAATTCACATTTTTCTGTATTTGTCTTTAAAAACTGTTTTTACAGTCTCCTGGCAATGTGTGTGTTTTTTTAAATAATTTTCTGTTTGTAAAAAACGTTTTTACCGTCGTTTCAACCACTTAACTGGGCCTAGAGCATCCAGCCCATGTGAATAATAAACACAAAAACTCATGCGGTTGAAAGAAATAATACCAGTACGATGTGTTGATATTAAAAAGTCCCACATCGCTTGTACCTAAAGCAATGACTACGGAAGCAGGAGTATATATAAAGAAGTGGACTGCTCGAGCAATTTACTTACCTGGACGGGGTCGACTCGCGATCAATAAGACGAGTGGCCTAGGCTAGTGACCGCATTGCACATAACGCTGGGGTGCCTGTTTAAGGTCTTCCCTTGAGGAAGAGCCTATGTCATTATTTGTGGCAGAGGGGGTTTGCGTTCGCGCAGCCCCTACCATTCATCATTAGTCTCAAATCTTTTTTGCTTTTGGTGAGAAACTATTTTGTTGGTGGGCATAATATAAGCTGAGAACCTCTGTAGTTATGATGACGATAATAATCCCACAACGAAAGTATCTTCATTATATGTACACAAAAAAGTCCCACATCGGAAGGATATATCAGCTTGATAGGTTCTGTTTGGCTATAAATAAAGAAGCTCTCCTGCTCTCCAAACTCATCCTTGCGCTTGGGGCAATGACGTAGCTAATGAGGTCTTAACCGAGGCGCGTCTATTGCTGGTTGAAAACTATTTCCAAACCCCCTCCTAGGCCTAAGCTTGTCTTGGGCCTTCGAGAATTTCTGGAAGAGTTCCCATAGGGGTAAAGCTCTACAATTCCTAGTTCAATAATTTCTTCAATGGTCACGTCCAAATTCATAAAAATGTTTCTACTTTTATGCTATATTAAGATATGCATCAACTTTCTTTCTGTTTTCTCATTTGAAAGTGAGAAAAATGTGTCATGTTAATAGTCTGCTTTTGCATTAATCAAATTACATAGCAGCCACTTTCTTATGTAATTGATATATTTATTGACAAATTGGTTTCGGCTCATATGATAACATTGACGAATTGATAAATTTCCGACCGTTTAATAACACTAAATAATTTCACACGTTGCTAAAATTTGGTAGGTGTTAGTTACAAAAAAAAACAGAGCATGTAAGCCAGAGTAGTACAGTCACTTTTCCCTTCTATTTTCTGATTGTATCGTTTACATGCTTCTTCTTCTTCTTCTTCTTCCTTTTCGTGATTCTCTCTCTCTCTCCATTAGATGATGTAATAGTGATCTAGGAACGTCTAAAGAGAGAAATTAGAGGTCGTGGCACAATTAACCTTAAACTCTTTTCGATTCTAGTGGAGGTTTGTGGGTAAGAACCCCACACGAGATTCATTGTACCCGGGACTCGTTAAAGTTAGTATACTTGTAGGTGATCTGAATTGGTGTGTCATATTAATATATGTCTAAAACCTCACAAGATGTATGAGAACCACTAGGATAAGTGACGGTTGAAGGTGGTAATCTGAACTTCATCGCTGCAAGAAGATTGCAAATCGTAAGTAAGCAACGCAATCAAGTTTAATAAATGCATTCAAGATACAAAGCTTTTGCTGTTTAGCGTAATGCCCATTTGAGTTTTTGTCTCTTTGTTTTGTTAACATAGATGTATTGTAATTTTCAAAAAAAAAAAACACACACATGTATAGATGTATTGTATTTGTAGCCAATGTAAACTAATTAGAACCTGGACCTCCACAAAATAATAAAATAATAATAATAATAATAAGTATGTTAGACCAGTTCAGATAAGACATTTTCAAGAGTCAAATACGCATGCATTGTTTAGAGAAAAATGTTTAGAGAAAAATGATACGGTCAGTTGAACAAAACAAAAGAAATATATATAAAAATCATATGTCCATAGCACCAATCCGCGTGATCTGACTTCATTTCTCAAAAAATCTATATACTCCCTCTGTCCCATTTTATAAGATGTTTTGTGTAAAAGCACAAAGATTAAGAAATAGTTAATGCTTACCTTTTTATAAAAATTCAGCCAATAGAAAAAAAGACTGCAGAATTTAAATGGTCATAACATACTAAATAAATATAAATTATGCATAGAAAACTGGAAAAATCTTATAAAATGGAACAAGAAAAAAATGCTAAAACATCCTATAATTTGGGACAGAGGGAGTATATAATTAGAGAGTCTTCTCTCCATCTAGGATGTCCACATCAGCATCCATGTCATCATACTTTACATTTTTGTGGGCTCCACATATCTTATTTATTAAAACAAAAACATTAAAACTAAAATTAATTCACACATTAAATAAAAACAATACTTGACAAAAATTAAATGAAATATTATGAGGAAACAAAAAAATAAATATACAACTTAAAATATGAAAATTTTGAATGGAGATTGGATAAATATAAATTAGATAATTATATTTAAACATATGAGTAAATATTTTAAAATAGTTAGAGATAGGAAAAAAGAAACTTATCATATATTTTAACGGTACAACAATTATTTTTAAGAGTTACAATTATTTAGTAGAGGAAAGAAAATAAGAGTTAAAAACAAATACCAAATTTAAAGGTTTTTACTTAAAGTAAAAAGTAATTCATTTTTGAAAATAGACATTCAAAATGTGAGTACCGATTAAAACATAAGAAGGATTTAGGACATATTATTATTTATAAGTATAATATAATATAAATAGTTAAATTATTAAAATTTTCTATATTATTAATGTTTTCTAAGTTAAAAAGTAGTGCTTTGTTTTTTTAAAAAATGAATACTTAAAAAAACCGTAATTTTAGTCAGTGTTTAAAAAATTAACATAGATTCAAAAAAACTAAGGTGATTTGAAAAAAAACAAAAAAAAAACTATCCTAAATACCAAATTTCAAACAAAATAATCTTATAAAATAATAAAACTGTGTAATAATAATATTTGAGTATGTTGTTTGGAATTAGAATAATAATGGTAGACTGAAGAAAATTTTTATTAGAAATAAGAAGGATTTTGATATTTATAAATAAATGTATTCTAAAATTAGAATATTTTTTATGAGTTCGTAAGTGTCACATTTTAGAAAAGTCAACATTAAAAATACTATCTAGAATCATAATATACGTTAAATTATATATATAGAAAGAGGATTTTGTATTTTTCAAATGGTCAAGATAAAAGTGCAAAACTTTATGTTGAAATTCTATGTCTGTGAATAGGAATGAGTCCATATATGAGATTTGTTGTCTATAAAATAATTTTAGATGCACCAAAATATGGTCAAAAAAATATTACAACAAACATCTCCCCAGATTTCTGTTTCCGATGTTCACTTAAATAAAAAGATCATGAAACTTATAAAAAAATTGACTATTGAAAGATATGAAGGAGAAAATAGTTACGAGCTAAGGAGAAAAGAGAGTAGATGTCGGGAGACAACGAGTGAATCATAGAAGATAATGAGAAAAATTGTAGTGAAAAATGTGAGAAACTTTTTACTACTTTGGAAAGATAATGCACATGAGTAAAGTTTTTTTTTTTTTAATTCAATTGATTTAAAAAATAAAAGTTTTAAATTAAATCTCGCGCAACGCGCGGGTACACAATCTAGTATATATAAATGATACCGTAACTTGAGTTCATTTCTCTCTATATATATGCACCGATTTACATATCGAAATTCTTACTTTAAAATTTTAATATAACGTAAAAATGTGTAACGTCGTGGTTTGCTTGCTAACTTTGTCCTTGTTCTTGTTCTCTGGATTATCGAACACAGCATTGGCCCGAGTACAATATGAACCTTTAAAGCCAAGTAAGTTTTTTTTATTGTGATAAATTTTATTTTATATATCCAAGTCGATTTTGGCTTTGTTGTAGTTCAACTTTTTTCCGGGTTACAAAATAAAATGATAACTGAATGTTATTCAATTTCACTTTGACAAATTTTTGGTCTCGATCCTATGTTTGGCAATACATCTTCAAGACAAAGAACTTTCAAAGAATACGAAATGAAAATCGTTTAATTTATTCATTGTTATTTGATTTTACCGTCTCTTTGTGTATATAAAAAAAAACTGAAACATTCTTTTTCTACTCCCTTTCAATTTTGGTACTGGTTTTTCAATACGGATTTTATTCAATCTGAATAATTGTTTCAACTGCATTTTATAAATTTTTATCACTTAAAGATATAAAGAGTTGATTAGGTGATTGTTTTCTTTGTTGGGAAAGAATTCGAGGCAGGGGTCTGGGATCAAAAGATGATCAAAGAAATCAAGATTGAAGTAGATGGTAGTTGTTCAAGGCGTGGACCTGGAAGAAGAGGACCAACAAAGAGACCACCAAAACGATGTACTAAACCCTAGTAACAATCCGTTATATATGTACCTATGTATAATTTTATGAATATGACATCTTTTTGCTTTTGTGTAAATTTGTAATTTGTATATTTTATTCAAAAGTATAAAATAAATTAATGATCATCTTTTTATTGATTCTTTGTATCTAACATAATCACATAATTCACATTCGCGATATATAATAAGTTCAAAAACCAAAATATATCGTGCAATAATTTGGTTCATCAATGTTGTATAAAAAATATTATTAGATCGTCAATCCATATGTCAAAAGATTGATTATGATATTTAAATATTTTATGATATTCCATTTTGGATCCGTTTCTTTTTATCATCTTTTTGCCCTCTCATGTAAATTTGTAATTTATATATTTTATTCAAAAGTATAAAATTAATTAATCATATAA